TATATATATATATATATATATATCAAAGTTTCCCTATACATTCATCTACTGAAGGGCATCTGGGTTGGTTCCACAATTTAGCTATTGTGAATTGTGCTACTATAAACATTAATGTGGCTATGTCCCTGTAGTATGCTGTTTTTAAGTCCCTTCCATATAAACCGAGGAGTGAGATAGCTGGGTCAAATGGTGGTTCCATTCCAAGTTTTCCAAGGAATCTCCATACTGCTTTCCAGATTGGTTGTACCAATTTGCAGTCCCATCAGCAATGTATGAGTGTGCCTTTTCCCCCATATCCTTGACAACACTTCTTGTTTGTATTCATAATAGCTGCCATTCTGACTGAAGTGAGATGAAATCTTAGAGTAATTATGATTTGCATTTCTCTAATTGCTAGAGATGTTGAACATTTTTTCATATGTTTGTTGATTGGTTGTGTATCTTCTTCTTAGAAGTGTCTGTTCAGTTCCTTGGCCCATTAATTGATTGGGTTATTTGGGTTTGTTTTTTTTTTTTTTGGTGTTAAGTTTTTTGAGTGCTTTGTATATCCCAGAGATTAGTGCTCTATCTGATGTGCTTGTGGTACAGATTTGCTAATCTGTTTGACCATCTATCTTTTTAAAATGACAATTGAATACACGTTAATATAATCTTAACCATCATTGTCTCTGTGATATTATGTCTGATAGTTTCAGTTAACCATTATGATTCTTTGACTATATTTATACAAACCTCAAAAACAAACTTCTGGTATAAAAAAAAAATCTGAGCTTTTGCACTGGTTAAGTTGTATGCTAATGAAGGAAGCACAGAAGCAACATAACTTTCATGCTGGAATATGGCAAGGCCCCAAACATCCTCCCTAATACACTTGCTACAGTAGCTTCATACCCTCCTACCCGGACCTAGATTCTCAGCACTCTAGACACTCTGCTAGGAGGGACAACATAGGTGGATAATTATGTACAATTGGTTCAGAAGTCTTTTCAGTACATTCAAATTGGTTCTGTGTCAATGAGTGGTTGAATCACAAATTACTCACTTCTCTCAGCCTCAGTTTCCTCATCCATAAAATGTTATGGTAATGAATTGCACAGTCTTTATGACTCACAAGGATAGATATCTCTAAGGCAGAAATCTGACATAATAGAAATGCTTCAGTGAACTATTATTGTTATATTATTAAAATGTACAGGGTACATTTTTTTTACTAACCCTCATTACTAATAGTTGAGATGGAGGGAAAGAAATAGCACATAGTAAAACTATGTTGGGAAGGCAATATTGAGCTAAAATTTCATGAACTGGGGCACTATTTGTGACTCCTTATACCCTTCTGATGTACTCCTCCTTCCCTTCCTTTCCTCCTTCCTCCTTCAACTCTCTTTGAAGATCAAGATAGCATATAACTCAGGGTACAATAATTTATTGAACAATGTTTTGGTTAGTTTTCTGTTGCT